CAGAGTGGGAATCTGTCTCAGAAAAAAAGAAAAGAAAAATCTAGGTTAGAATTCAGTGAGGACTGGAAGCTTGGGGGTCACCTTTGGATATTGTCACGGCAAGAAAGATCTGGGTGAGACCAAAGATGGGACTGGAAGTTTGAGGGTCAGCCCTTGGGGCTGCTGCAAGACAGATCTAGGGGAGATTGCAGGGAGAACTGGAAGTTTTGGGGTCACATGTAGGGGTCGCTGTAGCAAAAGGGATCTGGGTATACCGCGAGTGTGACGGAAAGACTAGGGTAGCTCCTCTGCCAGCTTCAGCTCTGGGGTCAGCGCCTCGTGCAGCATGAGGGATTTGGGTTAGACTGCAGAGAAAATTTGAGGTCTGGGGTTGGGTGTGAGAGTTGCAACAGAAAGAGGGATCTGAGTGAGATCCCGGGTGGGACTGGGAGTTTAGGGTGGCCCGTCCGCTACCTCTGTGGCTGTGATCAAACCTGTGCTGTGAGAGTCTGGGCTACACAGCAGAGAAGACGAGGAGTCTGGGGCTCGAGCTTTCACAGCAAGAAGGGTCTGTGCGAGGCCAAAGGCAAGACTGAAAGTTTGTGGCAGGTCCTCTGACAGCTCCCCAGCTAAAGTAGCAAGGAGGGTCTGGGTTCGACAGATCACTGGGAGGTCTGGAGGGCTGGCGTCAAGTGTGGAGGCTGTCGTGGTTGAAAGGGACCTGGATTTGGTTCCAGGGAGGACCGGACCCATGGCGCTGGGGAGGACTGGAGGTCTGGGGCGAGGTGTGGAACTCTCTGGGATAGAGAGAGGGGGTCTGGTGTGAGGGTCAGGTGTGGCCTTCTCAGCAGCAAGAGGCAGATATGGGCAGACCTAGAAGTCGGGGGTCACATGTGGGTCCTGGGGCCCAAGTGCCTGGGGCCCCAGTCCCGGATACCTGTCAGCCCTGTGCCCCCGCTGCCCCGCCAGGTGCGCCCGCTGGAGCGCCGCAAGTACATGCTCAAGTCCTTGGACCAGATCGAGACGGTGAATGGCGGTGGGGCGGCCAGTCGGCTGACCTTCCCGGACCGCGAGGCGCTGGCCGAGCACGCCGACCTCAAGAGCATGGTGGAGCTGATCAAGCGCATGCTGACGTGGGAGTCGCACGAGCGCATCAGCCCCAGTGCGGCCCTGCGCCACCCCTTCGTGTCCATGCAGCAGCTGCGCAGCGCCCACGAGACCACCCGCTACTACCAGCTGTCGCTGCGCGGCTGCCGCCTCTCGCTGCAGGTGGAGGGCAAGCCCGTCGTGGCCGCCACAGAAGACGGGCCCCCCTACTACCGCCTGGCCGAGGAGGAGGAGGAGGCCGTGGGCGTGGGCAGTGTGGCGGGCAGCGGGCCCTTCTTCCGAGAGGAGAAGGCACCGGGCGTGCAGAGAGCCATCGACCAGCTGGACGACCTGAGTCTGCAGGAGGCGGGCCGCGGGCTGTGGGGGGAGACCCGCGCCGACGTGGTCTCCGACATGCTGACCCCTCTCAAGGCAGCGGCCACTGGCCGCCGGGTGCCAGACTCAGGGCCCGAGCCCATTCTGGCTTTCTACGGCAGCCGCCTGCCGGGCCGCCACAAGGCCCGCAAGCCACCCGCGGGTTCCAAGTCTGACTCCAACTTTAGCAACCTCATCCGGCTGAGCCAGGCCTCGCCCGAGGATGACGGGCCCTGCCTGCGCAGCGGCTGGGAGGAAGGAGAGCGTCGCGGGGCCTCTGCTGAGCCGCCTGCCATCCCAAAGCGGGATGGGGATGGGCCCAACATCCAGGACATGGCCATGGACGCTGAGGTGAGCCGGGTGGGTGGGCGGGGTGTAGGTGCTTCTGGGATCCCCCCAGAGCTGCCTCCAGGGTGGGGGCACGGTTAACCCAGGCCTGGCCTCCCACACGTCTGTATCACCTGCCACTGGCTCGGGGTCACACTAACCCACCTTCAGGAAGGCTCAGCACAGGCTAACCCATATTCAGAACATAAGATTTGAAAAGGGCTGGGCATGGTGGCTCATGCCTGTAATCCCAGCACTTTGGGAGGCTGA